TATTGAAAAGTTTAACTTGAAGAAATGTTGAAGTTTAACAAATTAAAACAGGATTATAAATAGGTTTTACTGAATGATAGTACGAGAAGATAATAAAAACTAACAACTTAGCTACACCTGATAATGAGCTTCAGCAGAAAAGAGCGCTACATTGAAACAATAGAAAAGATAATAAAATAAAATAAGTCGAGCCTACATGAATCCTCCTTAATGTCTCGTATCTCACCATTAAAGAGTTATTATAGAAATTTTCAACAAATGTACTAATTTACGATGCTTAAAAATCAATCCATCTTTATTTGATTTTGGCACTGTAAATGATTTTATGACATATAGAACTACTATTTGTTCAACTTTATTAGAGTTACATGTCACTCTGACACATATGCAAGACTGTCTTTGTATACTTGATGGGCGTTTTGATCAACTTCGTATACTTTATATTACTTTTCATCATATTTGCTTTGAATTTTCTGAAACTAAACATAATGTAGGTTATTTTTATTAATATCTTGTTTGTTTAAATGAACTTATATTTATCTTTTTTTTGTTTTCATTTTCAGCAAAAACTATTACCAAACTTACGGATTTTTTCCTTGTGCTGCGAGACGAAGATATATAGTTATGATAAATCAATTGTACCACTTCTACGTCGAATGTTAAATTTAGAAGAACTTGATTTAAATCTTATAGTTAAATATTATGGAAAGTTTATTGATGGTGATATATTAAAAAAAGATATTATTACTTATATGCTACGATTATATAAATTTACATTTAATATTTGTTCAATCATTGATCATCGTGATCAAAATTAATTTTCCATTAAATGAATATATTCAGAATCCATTTAAATATATTTCTAATAATCAAATAATTACTTCTATTGATCATTTTCAAGAAAAAGGATATAGTCGATGTCATATTTATTCATATCCGTAGAAATGGAAATTTTATAATTATATAACAAATAATTTTCGGGATGGATTATTAACTAATGTTACTCGAGTATCATTATATGATGAACATCCATTTGAATATAAATTTTTTCTTCGAATTCAAATATCATTTCAATTTATGAAAAAATTAACAATAAAAAATCGAAAAGCACAAAAATATAAACAATTTATAAAATCAAAGAACAATAATCAAATATTGTCAATTATTGAATATTCTAATCTTACTCAACTTGATCTTAGTAACACTCATGATGATTATCTTGAATTATTTTTATTTAATACTAATATATCTTTACCAAATAATCTTCATCTTTGTGTCAATTATCAATCAATCAAAAGAGTAACATATTATTTTACAAGATATCATTGTGTAAAACTTGCTACGCTATATTGTGATCCACTGAATCAAATGGTTGAATATATAAAAAACTATTTTCCTTATACATGTATATGTTCTACTGTTGATTTTCGTTTCATAAGAAAGAAAAGTTCACACACATATTTCAATCGATATATCTCTGCAACTACTTAAGAAATTCTATCAAATAAATAATCATTGTAAAAAAAAGCGTTTCAATATATATTTGTTGTGTTAAAAATAAAGATTATAATTGAAGAAATAAGAGAAAACCAATGAAAAAAATTTATTAGATACGGTTTTCGTCCTTAGAAAATAGTTCTTTTTATTCTGAATAATCAGAATAAGAAACAAATTTTTTCATCTAGTATATATTCATTTTTCTTTTGGCAACAAAATCTAATAAAGCAACTGTACATTGAAAATAATCATATATATATTTATTCTACACATTATTCACATTGATTATATTGTTTAAAATAACATTTGATGTACATTCTTTCTTAATATATTTGAATCAAATCATTTCCATGCTTTAATGATTCTCTTTTTTAATTTTATTAAAGATTTGGGTTGTTCTTGCCTTTGTCCATAAACTTTATTGATCTCAAAGCTTCTCATAGTTTGATTTTCGTCTGTATAGAGTATAACGAAATATATAATTATCATTTATTTTCTTCTGATTATGTGATCTTTCTCTTTTTGAATGTTCATTGACTTCTCAATTAGTTACTCAGCTTGACTATCGTTTATTCTATCTCTCTTTCATCAACCAAAATTGATTGTATAGAGTTTCCTAAAAGTCCATCGGTAAAGTAAACTCGAATAACTCCACTATTTATGGAATTTAATTAGCTAATTTTTTTTCTAATGATAGGTATTACTTTGAAGTTTTTTTTTGCCACGAACCAACTTAATATATGTTATTGAAAATTATTACATTCGGTTGAAATATAAAGAGCAGTCGTTTTTTGATTGATGAAAAATATCATTATTTACTATTCTGTTTTTACTTCTCCAATATTTTGCATTTAAATCAAATAAATCTTGGCCTACCATTTCTGTGCATTTGTACTTGTGTGTTACTATTAAAAGAAGATTAATGAGATCAATTCTGATGATTACAAAGATTTTGAAATCTTCTTATCTTTTTTTTGAATGATGATTTGTAACTCGAAGACGTGAACCGATATTACGAGTTTCGTGATCATCAGATTTGACATCATTAGTCTTGTTTTAATAGTTACATACAATCACAAATACGTAGAAATGGTAGCCCAAGAACTGTACGACCTACACGCAAATATTGGAGTAGTAAAACAGGAATATTGAATAATGAATTTTTTCAACAGTCAAAAACCGACTGATTTTTATATTTCAACCGAATGTAATAACTTTGAACAACATATATAAAGTTGGTTCGTGGCTAAAACAACTTCACAATAACACTTATTATTAGAAAAAAAATTAGCTAATTACGTTTCATAAATAGCGGAGTTATTCGAAAATCATGTCCCGATGAACTTTTGGGACACCCTGTACAACTGACCTATGAGTTCGTATACAATAGATCTTCACAATTGCTTAACTATTTGAAATTTAGATGTTTCATCAATATATAACTTAGTTATGATAGTATTTTTTTTCGGTCTCTTAGAGTTAATTTTTGACAATGAATCTAAATATATCGGTCTTATAATCTCAATGAAATGAAATTGTTCTCTTAAATTGATTAAAATGTTTTGGCTCTTTAGTATCAGAAATGTAATGGTTGGATATCGTATCGTTCATGATTGTCTGGAAGCCTTCCTTTTTTTTTCGATGATCTTTTTCAAAGAAATCGAAATGTAAATATTCTCACTCAA